TTATTATTATTATTGTTGTTATTAATATAGGCGACGGAGGAATTCCAGTCTTCAGTGCCACCAACAGGGTCGCTCGAAGTGGTGCCATCAGAGCTAGAATGCACCCATGTTTCATCAGAAACTGTAATGGACACCGAAAAGAAATTTAGCGAGGATAGTTCACATTCCCAGGACTCTGTTTCAGAAAACATTAACTATGTAAAAAAGTTAGGAGTTAATATGAAATCCACAGGAAGCCCAGAACTCATGTTGGATGCTTGCTTCGTCAGTAAACGGGACAAAGCCACGTCTTCTCAAGAAGAATCCTTATTCTCAAACCAAAATGACGTTTACCCGGGGATTGATGATTGTGAACCATCAATCACTTCCGATTTTGACACTTTGACCTCTTTACTTGAAGAAATGTATTCTCAGATTACATTTGTCGTTGAATCACTTTCTGAGGAACCATATTCCGACGAACCACGTTTCGACGGATCGTGTTCCGATAAACGATATTCTGATGAACCATGTTCCGAAGAACGATTTTCCGATGAACCATGTTCCGATGAACCATGTTCTTTAAGTGACCGCCTTGATGGCAAAGCTCTTCATACATTATCTTTCGAGAGACTTGTGTCAAGAGGGAATAGTTCCCTGCGAAATACAATGGAGCAAAACACAAATTATAGAATCACTGGAAAACAACATTATAAAATGGCCCCGATGGGTGACGTTAAAGACGTAACGAATATATTAACTGAGAAGTATGTTGCGAGCGATACAGAAGACAAACTTTGTAAAGGCAAAGGAGATACATGTACTGCCATAGCCGGGGTAAAAGAAGCGGGTTTGGTGTTGAGCCTGAATGAAAATCATCCGCTTCAACCTGGACAAGACAGTCTGTGGAAACAAGCTAAAGGGTTTTTCTGGACCTTAAAACCCCCTGTAGCTGACACAGGGAAGATGACAGGCCAGCACAGGGCGGCCGGTACGATCGAGGAACTTGAAGAAACAGGGGAACAGCCGAGAAACACATCAACAAAGACGGACGCGGGGATCGTGTCCGATGTGGACGATTTGGTGGAAAGCGTTTCAGGTGAACATTTATTTGTATGTTGTTTACTACCGTGTGTAAAAGTAGATCTAATGCTAGATTGGTAACCAATAACAGATTTCATATACAACGAGCTTAAAAACAATAATGCATTCGAAAGTAGGCTCTATGGGCTTTGTGGTTTACTATTTCCTCGACAGATCTCTATCATTCCCAGATATTTTCGAGTTCTAGGTAGCATCAATACACGTTGCTGTTTTACAGGTACATAGGCCTATACAAACAGAATCTTTCTTTGTTTTATCCATTTTCACCTCAGCGACGTGAGGATCATTGGCTTTAAAGACTTTTTCACAAGAGCAGACGTCATTCTCAGACTGAGGTTCGAAAAAGGAACCAAACGGGGTTGAATCCAGCAATCATAGGCTTATTACAAAAAATCTTGAGCTGTTCATAAAAAGAAAAAAAAAATTAACTCCTCAGGCCCATGTCTATGGGTTTTTTTTTGACGGCGGCGATGTTCTCAAATTACGGAAGGGAAGCAGTGGTATTGATTAAGATGTAGACGTTTGGCCTCTGGTACCTTCCGCTGTTTTAGTGACCCCATCAGTTCAGTCAAATTTATCCGTGGACACCCAACCGAAATGTAATGAAAACATATAACCGACC